GCCTCCGCGTCGTTCAGCGTGCTTTCCGTCGGCAGCGGATTCGGCTCGTTGGGGTCGCCCTCCGCGGCGTACTCCGCGATGGCGCCCTCCGAGGCCTTTAGCCAACTCTCCTCGTATCATCTGCAATCCAGCCTGCCCACCCCCACGGGAGGGGGGTCCAGCATCGCGTCGTCGGCGCCGTACGCGGCGTTCCATGGAGGGGGGGGCGCCCGCCCCGCACGGCGATCCTCCGCGTACGACGACGACGACGCCCCACCGCCGCGATCCCTCGCGAGCGCGCCGTACACCGCGGAGTACGTCGAAAGTCGCGATCTCTCCGGGGAGTTCTCCCCAACGGAGGAAGGCGAGGAGCGGTAAGGATCCCCTTATCGACCCCATATATATATATATATACATACAAAGAAAAGAGAGAAATCAAGGGAATTGGAAAATATCAAGTTGGTTTTAGAGATAGGGAAAAAAGGGGAGAGAGGGGGTTGGATGGGTGGGCGAATTCCCTCCCCTTTCCCTTATATTAATGCGGGTAATGCAAATAGAGGAATTTCTAAGCGAAAGTAAGAAAATGGTTGGATATCCAGTTTAACGGCGATTGAAAGGAATGCCTTTTAAAAGATAGAAAGAGAGAGCCCCCCGGGGAGACTGAAAACGATGCATTAAGGTGCTTATTCATCAACCCCTCTCAGGGCATCTGTACTTTCCCCTAACCCTTCTCTTCCCTTGCTTTCCTAAATGTAGTTCACTAGTCTATATGCCACTATCCTCATCTGGAATTTTTTCATGATGCTACTGAATTGTTAAACCCAAAATAAAAAGCTTCAATCATACACCCCACCGTGGTGCCGCTCGCGTTCAAATATTCCCCCACGAAACGCCTCCAAGCCTCGTCGACGGAGGGAACTCCAATTAAGAGTCCGATTACCGCGATATCCTGCTCACTTTCCCAGCCTCAACTAACGGAGAGGAAATCGGAAAATGGAAGAAGAAAAAGAAAAGAAACCGAACGGACTCAAGCTAAATTAGTAAACTCCCATCACTTCATTCTCCTGCAAGAAATGATCTTCTATTGTGGATTATATGATGGGAAGTACTTCGGCATACGCCTCCCGTCTGCGGAGGAGGCAATTTCTAAAGGGTAATGTTGTGTGGGTTGAGATGCTCCCCCTGGGTATTGTACTTCGATACGCTCGACATTCACACCCAAAGACGTTTTCGGCTTTTCTTCAGTTTTTTCAAAGTGGTTCTCTTTTATCTTTCCATATCAACGCCCGGCTGTGAAAAGGCGCTGTCGGGGGTCTTGAAGCTGCAGTGATAGGAGGCACGCAAATGAGTAGGGGTAAGGCGAAATGAACCCTTTTGGGGAAAGGGCCTCTACGGTAGTATCACGGGATAAAAGATGGTTGAGGCTAAGGAGGAGGAGTAAAAAGACTCCCGCGATGACGATTTTGAAGAGTTTTAACAGTCAACCTGATCTCCAGGGAAATTCGGCATTGCATTTACGTTGGAGAGTGTATCTGTCGCCTATCCGGTTTATGCCAATGAATCGTCTTTTAGGGGAAACCAATTCCAATGAAAATTCGACCTCTTGCAAGCTTGTACGTGTGAGATTCCTTATCTTTCTACAAGCGCTCCAGAAATCATACGAATGTCGATAACGGGCATTGTTGACGGATATAACGTTTGAAAACGAACTCGTTCAAAAATAATAATAATCAAAAAGCTGCTACAATGTGATTTACGAAATATCCAGCTTGCTGGCAAAGAGCAAACAAAGGAGTACATCTCTAAACTGCCATGGTCATAGGCTGCATCGCTTTCTTATTCAAAATAATGAAGCTACCATACCTTTTCTTAACTTACAGCTACATGCATCTCCGTTTTTTATCCCTTCCACGTCTGCATTAGTTTACGTATCGTGTTTTACCCTCCTTCCTTTTCTACGAGAGGCTTTTAGTGAAGCACGCACGCACACGCAAGAAACGCGGATACCGCCGATTCTACCACCGGTAGATCCACCATCCACCCCACCGTCGCGTTTTTCTTTTTTTTCGCGGGGATTCGTTTCCTTATCGATTGATTTCTCATTCTTTTTACATTTTGAAATATAGTCAAGCGATGTTGTCGGATCTCCGTCAACAGGTGTTTCAGCTACCACGAGGCATCATTTTATCGGTAGGCCTCCGCTGGGAGTTCGTCGGCGCGGCGCCGGTGGATCTCGACCTCAGTGCGGTTTGCTTCTCCCGCGAAGGGCAATTCCTCGACGTTGTCTTCTTCAACCACCACCTCCCGCGCGGGGTCGATGAAAAAGAACTCAGCGCCACCCATCGGGTGGGTTCGAATCGTTTGCCATTTATGTTTCTCAGCGGGGATAGTCGGATCGGCGGCGAGGAAGAGCACCGAATGTCGGGGGAGCAGCTCGAAAAACGACGTCGAAAGGGTCTTTTCGGGCATCCCGCCGGTAAACATCCCGCCGCCCTCACGATGAAGCATCTTTTCAGTCGATTATATGCCGAAGAGGAGTTGCGGGGGATTCAAGCGGCGATTGATCACCTCAACGTGCAGGGCGGGGATGCCTACGAGGAAAACGGGCGGCTCGTTCACTACACGGTAGAACGCGAGCTCAGTGATGAGGTGTTGACGTTGGTGCTGGATAAAATCTCGAACGAGGTGGGGGTGATCTTCCTCACCGTGAGCAGTTATAAAGGGCTGGATATGGGGTCTTTACGCGAAACCCGGTTGA